TGGTTGGGAGTCCGCCTGCCGATGCAGGGGACGCGGGTTCATGCCCCGGTCTGGGGGGATCCCGCATGCCGCGGAGCGGCTGGCCCCGTGAGCCACGGCCACTGGGCCTGCGCATCCAGAGCCTGTGCTCCGCAACGGGAGAGGCCACAGCGGTGAGAGGCCCGTGTACCGCAAAAAAAAAAAAAAAAAAGACCCAAACTCTCCAATGGTTTTCAGGGAAGTTTTTAAGGGCAAAATTTGGGGTGATGGCTGCAGGGTGCATGACTGACTGGTTGGTGGTAAGGTAACAGTGGTGTTCCAGGAATCTCAATCATCAGCCTTCTGGGTCCTACCAGTCTGGGGTCTCAGCATATAATAAACATCCTCCACCTGGGTGGGGGGCTTAGTTCCTGCAGAACAACTCAAAGATAAGTGTCAGATTGCCATGTCTGCCCCTCGAGGAGGAATTAGGACTCTGTTTTATTGCTACACTTGTTTCTGGACTGCTTTTCCTTTGTTTTTGCATTCCTTCACTTCCCTAATTAGTAACTTCTTGAATCTACACTTTGAAAATCAGGGAAAGTCTAGGAGGCTCCAGCCTTTCTCTACAAACAGGGAACGGGGGACATGGAAAGGCTTTTGTACCCTGGAGGGCCCCACAGGGTCCTGCTCAGTTTCAGAACGCCTTAGTGTCACTCCAAAAGTCTGTGGCTCCCACTGGGTGGGTCCCCATCAGAGAGAGAGTAGAATGAATACCTGCGTGCGTGCGTGCGCACGCGCGTGCACACACTCATACGCACACACACACACCCGCTGCCCTCCACTGCTCCCAGGCTGAACTCGGTGTTTCAAACTTAAACTGCCCTTTAAGCCTGGCTGGAGATCTTCTGCCCCTTTAAGAGAAGACCCACGGGGTAGGAAAAGACCAAAGAGCCAAAAGAATTACCATATTCCTTTTTTACCTACTGCCCTCCTGCTGCTTCGTGATGACTCTGTCTACCAGAGGCCAGAGCACTAGGACGGACAAAGCCCCCCAAAGAATGAGAATGGACTCACTCCTTGGTCAAAGAGAGCACAGCTCGCCTTTTTTCAACCCTGGAATTAAGCTTTGGGATTCCTGATAAAGTTTGGCCCCTTTAGGGTTCCCCCAAGATCGCCAAGATCCCTGAGCCCAAGTACAGGACTGGGCTGCCAGTAGCTAGGAAGTGAAGAGGAATTGTATGCTGCTGGCTCTAAATATGGATTGCAGAATTTGCTGGACTCTGAGAGGCAACTTCCTTCGGGCGGTGGTTCGCCAGTAGCCCGCGGTCAGGCAGTACCCAGCACCGCAATCCTGCTCAGATGCTGAGGTTCTCTGAGGTTCCTCTGGCCTCCCTGCCCCACGCCTGCCAGACCATGATTTGTGACCACATTTCACCATGATTTCCCAGGTTTCCCAGCATTTGCTCAGATCTCTGATGCTTGAAATGGCGTGTGACTACTCTCTGGGTCTCAGGGACCTAAAGGTCTGGGTATGCTCTTCATTTCCCACCTGGAGCAAAGGGGCAAGAGTAGTAACAACTGCAAAGCCTCTCCAAGATGGCCTTGGTAAATTTCATCCCTAGGGAAGCTCCTTAAAGCCTGTTGGGGACACCCTGTTTCTTTAAGAAGAAAAAACTCAAAAGCCAACTGAATTCCAAAGGAGGCTCAAATGCCCCTTACTGTTTTGCAAATGGCTCTCTTAGCCCGAGGTGGGTCTGCCTGTGAGACTGGCTGTATCCTTCTCTTCTTTGAGTCCTGGGGGTCTAAGAAATTGAGTTTGGGGTCTCTGTTGGGGGAGGGGGGGTCTGGCACCTGCAGACTCACCCAAAACTCATTAGCTACCCTTTTGGGCAAAAAGAGTACAGCCTGCTGTTGAACTACGGTGTGCCAGTTGCCCGAGTCCTGCCAATTCCCAATGGTTCGCCAGGTGCCCGCGGTCCACCGGGTGCCCACGGTCCACGAGGTGCCCTGCCCACGGTGCACGAGATGCCCACGGTCCATGAGATGCCCTGCCCACGGTCCACGAGACGCCCACGGCCCACGAGGTGCCCTGCCCACGGTCCACCAGATGCCCACAGTCCACGAGGTGCCTTGCCCACGGTCCACGAGGTGCACTGCCCACAGTCCACCAGGTGCCCACGGCCCACGAGAAGCCCACGGTCCACGAGGTGCCCTGCCCACGGTCCACGAGATGCTCACGGTACACCAGATGCCCACGGTCCATGAGGTGCCCTGCCCACGGTCCACCAATTGCTTGAGGCCTGCTGAACTGTCATCCTGCAGCATTGTAGTTGCCACGCTGAATCTGCCCTCATCCCTTTAGCTTCCCAGCCCTTCTTTTTGTTTTTTTTTTTTTTTGCAGTACGCGGGCCTCTCACCGCTGCGGCCTCTCCCACTGCGGAGCACAGGCTCCGGACGCGCAGGCCCAGAGGCCATGGCTCACAGGCCTAGCCGCTCCGCGGCATGTGGGATCCCCCCGGACCGGGGCATGAACCCGCGTCCCCTGCGTCGGCAGGTGGACTCCCAACCACTGCGCCACCAGGGGAGCCTCCCAGCCTTTCTTTGCTTCTCTACACAAACCTCCCCGTGACTCACTATTAGTGCAAGTTCGTGTGACGGATGCACAGTGAGGCCAACAAACCGAAATGTCAGAGTTTGGAGCAGAGAAAGGTTTATTCCAGGGCCATGCAAGGAGACAGAGTTGTACTCTTTGACCAGCATCTCCCCATTTCTCCCACCCTCGGCCTCTGGCAACCACTGTTCTACTCTCTGCTCCTATGAACTAGACTTTTTTAGATTCCACGGAAAAGTAAATCACACAGCGTTTGCCTTTCTGTGTCTGGCTTATTTCCGTAGCATAATGTCCTTCAGGTTCATCCACGTTGCAGCAAATAACAGTACTTACTTTTTTTTTTGCGGTACGCGGGCCTCTCACTGTTGTGGCCTCTCCCGTTGTGCAGCACAGGCTCCGGACGCACAGGCTCAGCGGCCATGGCTCACGGGCCCAGCCGCTCCGCGGCATGTGGGATCTTCCCGGACCGGGGCACAAACCTGTGTCCCCTGCATCGGCACGTAGACTCTCAACCACTGCGCCACCAGGGAAGCCCCAGTACTTACTTTTTTTTAAACCCTGAATAATATTCTATTGTATTATCTATACACCACATTTTGCTTATCCATTCATCCATCGATGGACACTTAGGTTGTTTCCATATCTTGGCTACTGTAAATAATGCTGCCATGACTTTGTGAGATATCATTTCCTCTGGATATACACCCAGAAGTGGGATTGCTGGATCATATGTTAGTTCTGTTTTTTATTTTTTATAGAAACTCCATTGTGTTTTCTAGAATGGTTGTACCTACTCACACTCAATTTTTTTTTTTTTTTGCGGTACGCGGGCCTCTCACCGCTGTGGCCTCTCCCGCTGCGGAGCACAGGCTCTGGACGCGCAGGCCCAGCGGCCATGGCCCACGGGCCCAGCCGCTCCGCGCACGTGGGATCCTCCCGGACCGGGGCACGAACCCGCGTCCCCTGCATCGGCAGGTGGACTCTCAACCACTGCGCCACCAGGGAAGCCCCTCACACTCAATTTTTTTTTGAAGGGTTTAAGGACTTCTCCACTTCCCATTAGAGAAGTCCCCGTACTACTGCTATGTTCCTGAATAAGACATGTCTTGCCACTTAAACAATTTTAGGCTGGGGAATCACACTACTAACACCCGACAAAAAGCAACGCAATGCAGTAGCCATCAAGCAGCAAGCTAGCCAAGCACCAGCGGTGCCCTTTAGGCAGTGGTTGCTGCCGTTGGGTCCCACTGATGCGCCAAGCAGTCCAAGGACCTACCATCTCCGTCTGGTGAAACCACTCTGCCATGCAGTGCCAGTTGTTCTAAAAACCTACCCTGGATTTGGTTTTTTTTGGTTGTTTTTTTTTTGCGGTATGCGGGCCTCTCACTGTTGTGGCCTCTCCCGTTGCGGAGCGTAGGCTCCGGACGCGCAGGCTCAGCGGCCATGGCTCAGGGGCCCAGCCGCTCCGCGGCATGTGGGATCCTCCCGGACCTGGGCACGAACCCCCGTCCCCTGCATCGGCAGGCGGACTCCCAACCACTGCGCCACCAGGGAAGCCCCCTGGATTTGTTTTGAGCATAAGTAGTAAGGCACATGCGCGGCGAAAATAATTGTGAGGAGGAAGAAGTCCTGTACTAATTTCACAGTCCCCTAGAAACAGGAGGGCCACCAGGGAAGACAGTCTGCAGGATCAGCGGGAAGAGAGAGGTGAACGGGGGCGGGGGGTAGGGTCCTTTCTGGAGGTTTTCTCCAGAGGGAATGGGCAAGATAAACAAGAGCAGGAACTATGACTGGAGAGTTTGAACAGTTACTAGGAACCCTGGACCATAAGGTTGGTCTCCAGTAGTCTCACACCTGGCCCTGCAGTGATTAGGGCAGGGGATAGAGTCCTGGACTCCAGAGGTCTGATAAAAGGATCCGCCTGGGCAGGGGGTATGGACTCTGAATTGGTTTGCTTGTATATCAAAGTTTTGCTGGCGGGCAAGTTGCTTGTTATCTCTTGGATGTAGTTAATCCCGGAGAGTGGGTTCCCAGTGTCCACAGGCTCCAAATGCCAGAGAATTAGGAGTACATTAAATAAGATAGTACAGTTAATACAACTGACCCTGTGGCACTCGAGCATTTCTTAGAGGCGTGGCGGTAAGGATGATACCTTAGTCATAGTAGATACGAAAAATGAACACGTTCTAGAAACCTGCTGTGCAACACTGTGCCTACAGATAAAAATGCAGTATTGTATACCTGACTCTCGGTTAAGAGGGTGGATCTCATTAAATGTTCTTACCACAATAAAATGAAGTATAATAAAATAAATATAACAGTAGGGAACTACATTATTACAGTATTTTACGAGGCAAACAAGCAGGCAATGGATCACTAACATACCTATCAGTAAAATTAGCAAAAGTTTGAAAGGTTTGTTACTTACAGTTTACCAGGCAGGGTAGAATATAGCAGGATCCCGGGGGAAGTAAGCTGCTAGCTCTGGAAGGTAGACACCCCGTGGGTGATATTGCTGTAAATGGTCCCGGAGGCGTTTAGGGGAGGAGTAGGGGAGGCTGCTGTAAGTGTGGAGCGACACAGCTGGGTTGAGTCCAAGGGGTAATTCTGCATAAGAGCTTGAGGAGGACGCTAAGTCCTCTTTAGCAGTGAACTCCTGGGCTGGGGTGATGCTATCTGCGGCAAGGTCCTTTCCAACAGTGAGCCAAAAATCCTTTTTGAAAGGTGGTAAATCCTCTGTACCCTGGTTCATCTATTTTTTTTTTTTTTTTTTTTTGCAGTACGCGGGCCTCTCACTGTTGTGGCCTCTCCCGTTGCAGAGCACAGGCTCCGGACGCGCAGGCTCAGCGGTCATGGCTCACGGGCCCAGCCGCTCCGCGGCACGTGGGATCTTCCTGGACCGGGGCACGAACACGTGTCCCCTGCATCGCCAGGCGGACTCTCAACCACTGCGCCACCAGGGAAGCCCTGGTTCGTCTATTTTGATGCTGGAAAGCCCCACGCAGGGCTGCCAGGCAGCAGATATTCTCTCTGCTCTCAGGTCCCTGGTGGTCTGGACAAGTTGTTCTGGCAGTCTCAGGTTCAGGTGGGGAAGCAGCCCCTCAGTTTCTGAAAAACAACAGCAATGACAACAATGACCACCACCACCACCACCACCACCAAAATGACTCCAGTTCTGACTCCAGTTTGTTATTCACTGTATGGTCATGTACAAGAGATTCTGACATCCATTTAGGAGCAAATACCCATAAATGGTGTTTCCAAGGATGCCAAAGTTTTCATCCCTACACCCTCTTCTCCAAAAGCCTCTTGAGTCGGGCTCCTGTTCCAGAGTCCATCATCAGAACTCTATTTCTCCATTGTCTAATTTACTTTAGTTTAAATTTTAATTTAGCTAATATTTCACATAGAAAAAATTCAGATAACTCATAAACCATAAAATAATAAGCACCAGAGAAAAATTTCACTCTCTTCACCATCATCTTTCCCATTTCTCACAACCTCAGCTCTGCCATAAATGATTTTATTAATTTCCTGAGTTTCATTTGAGTTTCTTTGTGAAAATACAATTACTGTATATATTTATATTCCTAGTTCTCCTTCTCTAACACAAAATTATTATACTTTGCTTTTTTCTCTTAATACATTCTGGATCTCTTTCCAAATAATCAAATGTCACCAGTGAATTTTTAAAAAATAGGGTCTATGGAATTCACATCAGCTTCTAAATTCTTCCTTATAGCAACTGTATTCCAATGGAATACTTCTAATATTGTTGCAAGTCAACCAGTGAAAACATCTGGGAGCTTAGGGGAAAAGGCTCAAGAATATAGTTCTCATATTGATGACTTCATCATACAGAAAGCCAATAGGAATTATTGTGTTTTTTAAAGTTAAAACTCCAGAGAACATAAGTTTTACAATGATTTTTGAGCTAAAGAAAGGAACAAGGGGACTTCCCTGGTGGTGCAGTGGTTAAGAATCCGCCTGCCAGTGCAGGGGACACGAGTTTGATCCCTGATCCGGGAAAATCCCACACGCCACAGAGCAGCTAAGCCCATGCACCACAACTACTAAGCCCGCGTTCTACAGCCATCGAGCCACAACTACTGAGCCCAAGTGCTGCAACTACTGAAGCCCGCATGCCTAGAACCCGTGCTCCGCAACAAGAGAAGCCACTGCAAAGAGAAGCCCACGCACCGCAGTGAAGAGTAGTCCCTGCTCGCCACAACTAGAGACAGCCCGCATGCAGCAATGAATACCCAACATGCAGCAATGAATAGCAAAAATAAATACATTTATTTAAAAAAAAAGAAAGGAACAAGTGTTAGGTTAATAACATTTTTGGTCCTGATCATTACCAGAAGTTGAAAGCACTGTTTTTGAAGGCTACAACCTATGTTTCTGCTAGCAAGAAAAAAGGAAGGAAAAGAAAAAATGTGCAGGCGGAAGCAAAAGAGGGGAAGGAGAGAAAGAAAAAAGAGAAAGGAGTAGAGTATGGTAAAAACTGGTCAAGAATTATTGCGAACTATGCCAAACATGTCCCAGCTTTGTCTTTGTATGAAGGTGTATTACAGGTGTTTCCACAGACTGTAAAAGTGGAATAGAGTTGATCTGATTAGACTGAAAGAAGAATAGGGTGGGAAGACTAGAACAGAGATGTTAAATCTCACTGTGCATAATTTTAAATTGATCTGGGGGAAAATGTTATGATATTAAAAGTGTAGCTGCTTGCCCTGGTGCCATGCCTTTGTCTACATCCACTCCTGACAAGCAGAAGCAACTAGCAAAAATGTTTTTGGTCTTTAGTTCTGGTGGATCGTCTGTATGCTTAGTTAGAAATAGGCTTATATTGCTATTTAGTGATTTGCCAACTTTAGACATTATGCAGTTGACTCGAACAAGGCTGGGGTTGGGGCACTGTCTCCCCCTGTGCTCTCCTCCCCGTATTTACACTGCCATTCACCTCGGTCCGCCATATACCTCTGCAACTTTAAGCTATATACTTTAACTTTCATTCCCTTTCACGAACCTCTTGTTCCAACAATCAGAAAGATGAAGACATTAGCACTACTATCTTTTCCTCATCCTTCCTTCTTCTTTTAGATGAAATTTTTGTCAAGGATGGGAAACATCTTACAGGAAAGAATCAAGAACAAGATAAAATGGAGGTATTTTGTGACCATTCTCATTAATTTTTAAATTGTGAGTTGAATGGGGCATATGAGTGAATTCTTTTCCCTTAAAGATGACATTATACCCTTTAAAGAGGTAAAATGCCAAGCTAATGGATAAGACCTTCATAATGATCTGACTTGTGAATAGGTAGATAGGCACAATAACAGAACTTGGGGGAAATATAATCCAAACTCTAAACCTATGGAATCTAAATTTTTTATGACTCAGGAATGAGATCTAGGTTTTCCCTATAGCCTTCTCCCTTAAGACATTAGCCTAATGTTAGCTTACACAGCTCACAAAATACAGGTATTATTGGAATGATTTCTGGACATAAAAGAGAAGCTCTTATTCTTCCTTTGAAGAAAGAATATGAAATAACATATACATAGGATCATTTTTCTCCCTGAGGAGGGAATGGGATACATATAATCCCAACCTTGATTCCTAGGGTCCTTTAAATAAATATTTGCTGAATGTATGGGTTTAGATCTGTAGTGGATTAATAAAGGATTGGGGGGAAATTACAACTTTTAGAGTTTCATCTTAAAGATAATTAAACTCTGTCGAAAATGCACCCATTGCCACTTGACAGAAATCTGGTCTGGAAGGACTGCTAATCTGATGCAGGATGGCACTTCCTCTAATTTTACATGATAGTATCATGTTGGAAAAAAATGCAGCCAACCAAACTAACATCAATGGTTTCCTGTAACTTAGTAATTTTATTTCATACTTAGTGAAAGAACAGTTTCAGACTCAGATACAGATTACTATGTATCAATCTTGTGCATGCATAAAAAAAGGAAATATAAGTAAAATTGGTTATGGTGTTCCCCAAATTTCTTCACTTTCCAACTTTTCTAAATCACTTTTTGAATCAATTGTTAATGGCTGTGGTTTACCATACAGTACTGTCTTTTGTGCCACCAAAAGTGTTGGTGGTGCACCAAGCCTTCAAAAAGTGCTCCATTACCAAATCCAGGATTTTTTCCAAGCTGCAGATCCTATTCCTCAAGTTTTGATGCCAGCACTTTCTTGATCTATCCTGAAGAGTTCCATGGATGGTTTTCAGGTAACATCCAGACTCATTTTCCTTCAATGATTTTTTTGGACTAAAACTTAAGAGCAGTTGTAACTGACTAACCATACCATCAGGAATAATAACTATGTAATTTCACTTTTTTTGGGGGGGATGTTAGGCTTACTATTTAACTGTTCAGATATAGGTTTCCAAAGTGCATTAAGAACTAATGTACTTGGTGAGTAATTCAGGGCTCCCACGGTTTAATAGCTTGTAGCCAGTGCCATATCTCTCTTTTGTAAGTGCTGGAGAAATCTCTTTTTGGTCTTGGAAAAATCTTCCCTCTTTTTCTAAGAAAGACTCCCTTTAAGTTGGAGAGACTCCTGTGTCTCTCCCTCCCCTTAATTCCTCCTCCTGTTAATTTCCTCCTCTGAGGGCTGTGGGCTTTATTATATTAAAAAATGCACTTAATTCAGTTGAAATAAGGACAATGTGAACAGCTTTTTTCTAAGAAAATCTTCCCTCTTTTTCTAAGAAAAACTCCCTTTAAGTCGGAGAGACTCCTGTGTCTCTCCCTCCCCTTAATTCCTCCTCCTGTTAATTTCCTCCTCTGAGGGCTGTGGGCTTTATTATATTAAAAAATGCACTTAATTCAGTTGAAATAAGGACAATGTGAACAGCTACATTCAAGTTTCTATGTGTGGAGGGAAGGACAACTAGGTTAATATAATAGCCACCTGGCCAATATTGAGGCCAGTTTGTAAAATGCACCCCGATTTCAGAAATGTTAAGGAGTGAAAAATGTGTGTCTTAGCATCTGTGAAATACATCATGTCATGGTGGCTGGGTTAATGGGTGATGGGTTTTCTTTGATCCGTTCCAAGGTTGGGATTTGGAAAGGGCTTAACTTAAAAGAAATCAGTACTTTTTGGTGTGTTTAAAAAATCTAAAGGGGTTGATGAACGAACAGTTGCAATAGCCCTCATTTAAAGCGGGGGAGAAAGTTGTAACAGGGGGAAAGATATAGTGGGGGAGGCAGGAGCTGAGAATTACATAAAGAGTGGAAACTACGGATGCCAAAGCAATGGATAGGTTTAAAAAAGGGGAGGGGGACAATGTCACAAGGTCTCCAAAAAAGCATAATGATAGTTACAGCAAGAGCCAAAGAGCAAAGTAGCTCATGTTGAGATTATTTTTACGTAAGACATAAGCTCTCCAACTGGAGGCCTTCTCCATTTTAGGTATGATAATTTTCCTTATCACAGATTATTATGATATATTCAGTACTGTGACTGATTTAGGTTTGTATCCATTATACACAAAACTGTTTTTGCACACCACTATACCTGTAGTGAGTGGTACGGAATATAACTAAATGACTGAGTAGATTCTGGTCAATATTCGGCACCCTTTCATATGCAATGCAGGTCTCTGAATACCTAACTTCTTTAAACCTCACTTTTCTCATTTGTCCAAGGGGGTCATAATAGCATTCGTTCTAAGATCCTATAGAGGGTTGCCCTGAGTATGAATTGCAAGAATACACACGTAAACCTTAAACACGAT